TGTGGGGGGGGGAGAAGGAATGCTACTTCACTGCTTTTAATGTACACTGTTCCAAAATTGGAGGAAAGAGGATTAAAAGTTCAGCTACTATAATGTAAGACTTCATCCCATAATTCAGAGCCAATTTGGCCTAGTGCAGGGGTAGGCAACCTTGGCTCTTTTATGACTCATGGACTTCAACTCCCAGAATTCCTGAGCCAGCACAGCTGGCTCAGGAATTCTGGGAGTTGAAGTCCATGAGTCATAAAAGAGCCAAGGTTGCCTACCCCTGGCCTAGTGACTAAGGTTCCAGGCTAGAAACCAGGAGATTGTGAGTTCCATTGCTGCCTTAACCATGAAAGCCAGCTGGGTGACCTTGGGCCAATCATTGCCCGCAGGCTGAAGGTTGTTGTTAGGGGGAAAATAAGAGAAGGAAGATGTGTTGTATATGTTGTTCACCTTGAGTTATTTGCAAAAATAATAAAGGTGGGATACAAGTAAATAAATAAAATTCATTTTCTGAAAATAAATCTTACTGAATTATATGATGCTTACTTCTGTATCTCCATCTCTCTTATCTATGTGCAGGAGAGAGAGAGAGAGAGAGAGAGAGAGAGAGAGAGAGAGAGAGAGAGAGAGAGAGAGAGAGAGAGAGAGAGAGAGATATTTGCACTGCAATTTAATGTTTTGTTAACTAGCATTTTTTTAAAAAAATCAGATCAACAGGATTTTTTGTTTCTAAGTAGAGGAGTGCAGAACTGAGGTTTTAACTGGAATCTAATCTAGTCTCATAGTACTTTAGCTACTGGAATTCTAATTCATAGTAAACATAGTATCTGGAAATTCTGGAAATTGTAGTCACTCCTGGGAAATCAAATGAACAGTTTAGCTTACATGCTAATTGGAAAATACTTTCCAGTTGTTACAAATTTGAAACAAAAAGTGCAAGTTCAGACTGAAATTGGAACAAAAACACTGGGGCCACTGAGTTTTGTTTTGACATAATCCAGCCAATGTTGAATTGTATTGATGGAATGTTTCAACTGAGGGATAGTCCATTCTGAGTTCAGAACAAATATTTCCCATTTTGTGCAGAATGCTATAGAAAATGGGTAACAGATGAAAAACAAAATAATTGCTCCACTATTTAAAGACCATTGGAGAAGAAAAACAACATATTCAAAAATAATATGAAATATAAAGATCAAACATAAAATATGAATTAATCTATGTGAAGACAGAAGAGATAATCTTAGAGATATTTATTAGCTTCAAGATGGTTTTCATCCTATCCATGAACAAGAAAATGCTCAGTTTCTATAGAATTTTGTTTGTTGTGTTTTGTTTTGTTTAGAAAATCTTAAATAGCACACCATAAGTATTACGACCAGGAATTGTCAGTACTGATATATCTAGCATTAGCCACTGGATAAAACTTTCAAAGCTATAATAAACATAGTGTTCATAATATTAAATATTTTCTGATATTAAATATCAGAAGCACTGATACTGTATATTTGCAGTGCAGCACAATACAGAAGTACTGATATATACTATTGAATATTATAACTGTATAATATTGGAGTTTTCACCTCACAATTTGTAGGCTGTGAGTTCGATCCTAGGTAGTGGCAGATATTTCTCTCTCTGGGCGCAATGAGTAATTGTCTGCTGCCAACTCCAGATAGGTGTCAGGAAGGGCATCTGGCCAGTAAATGCTCAAGTTCCATTCAGTTGCCCCGACTCCTCCCTGATGCAAGAGATTACACGGTCAGTAAAAGAAAAAAAATTGTTCTTAGCAAAAACTACAAATATTACATATTAGAAAATATGGTATGTTTTCCAGGGGTACAGAGCCTTGAGGTGAGGCTTTCAGAACTAGGGAAGAAGGAATTGAAGTATTTCTCTTCTATTTTCCATTTCATTTTTCACTTTAGGTAGGCATTTCAACTAAATTAAATCGATTTGGATTCTGTTTCTCATTTTGTTACTTCAAAGGACACCTATATTGCTAGCCATGCCATGCTAATATGTGGCACTTTATCATCTTATCTCTGCCTAGAGTAATGGATCTAAGCATAAAATGAATCCGTCAATCAGGCCACCAAACCCAAATCTCAGGTGAATAAATTTGTGAAACGTGCATAATATTTGTATGACATCAATTCAATACATTTTATAGAAGCTGAGGTTGCATTGGAAATCTTTCAGGGTGAATTTGAATATTAACATTTCATCACAGCAGTACTAGAAAGAGGAGACCAATCTCCTTGACTCAGTATTTCCTAAATATTAACCTGTTTTCTTTGCAGGTGTCTAACAATGGTAGATACCTGGCTTGTAAGCAATGGTAGCAGTGATGATCATATATACTTTCTGAATTTTATCATAATCTAGTACTTGTTCAGAAGAGTTTATTTCCAGGTGACTGGAGATGTAGCAATAGCACTTAGACTTATACCAGTTCATAGTGCTTTACAGCCCTCTCAGCATATTACCCCCAACAATCTGGGCTCTCATTTTATCGACATTGGAAGGATGGGAGGCTGAGCCAACCTTGAGTTTGTCAGGATCAAACTCCTGACAGTGAGCAGAGTCAGACTGCAATATTACATTCTAACTAATGTGCCACCACGTACACTTATGTAAGTGACTGAATGCATGGAAAGTGAGATTTGTACTACTAACCTTCAATCTATCCTCTTTAGCAAATCTCACTCTAAACACTTGAATATAGGAGTCAGATATTTAGTGATTCTCATCATTTTTACCTTTTCTCAGCACTTTTTGCTGCCGATAAATCATTTTCTCTATTGATCTGCTATATCACTATACTAAGCAAGTCAAGATATCCTATATTTCTAATTGGGCAAGATATGGCTGGGAATTCCCTTGAAATATATCTTTCTAATCTGAATGCTTTTCAGCCATAAAAAGAGCATTATTGTATGCACAGTTTTTATTAAAAGAGTATACTAAGAATGGTTAGATTAAAAAACAGAATTATTTCACTTCCAATAGTTGTTTCAATGAGAGGATTTTACTTGAAACTAGACATCCCTACTAAAAATCCTTCTTGTATATAATTATTAAAGGTAAGGATATCTGGCCATCTTCACACTGTTTAGAAATGTAGGGAGTAATTTATTTTGAATTGATCTTGTAACATTTTATTATCTTGGAAAGTTTACAATTTCCTTTCAAAGTTTTCTCTTTAAAACATTTTTTCTTTTAAATACTATTTACATAAATCTCCATGATACCTTAAAGTAAAAATTGAATTAAAGTGATTTTTGGAAAATTCAATAGTTTGGCTGGGTAGTACATCTCAAAAAATGGAAAGACCTTTTTTTGGATTGAGCATATCTGAAATGTTTGGGTTTTTGCTGGTGAATGAGGAGATGCTTAAAGAATATACTAAAAGCTTAACCAATAAATAGTTTATATTTTTGAAAAAATTATAAGTGAGCAGCATATGAAGATAGGATGAAAGGAAGCAAATCATTGCAGGGCCAGGATAGCAGGATTTCAGTGTGCAATTATTTCAGCACCAATATTTAAATGAGTATCTATTTACTTTATAATAGGTATGCCATTTGAAGTTTACTTCTTAGTAAGATAGAAGAATGTGGAATAGACAATACCTCCACTAGATGAATTGACAACTGGCTGTCCAATTGCATTCATGGAACTACTGTATATCTGCATGGAGGGACACTTGCAGTGGAGTAGATCAAAGTTCTGTCTTAGGCCCAGTACTCTTCAACATCATCATAAATGACCTAGACATGGGGATAGAAAGAGGGAAGTCATCAGATTTGCAGATGACACCAAACAGGGTGAAATCACTTTTATGGGTCAACTGGGAAAGACTTCAGTATTAATTCCATCTTCACCAACTAGGCACAATTATAACCAACTGGACAACTTCACAACTTCTCATTTCTGCCTTATCTAGTGGGTTACCTAGCTTCTTCTTTTGAGGTAGTTAGCTTGTTTCCATATGACCTTTTTTATCATGACTGTATTGTTTTTATCTGACTATTGAGAACTATTACAGTCTAGGGATAAACTAAATATAGAATTGCATTGCTTTAAAGTCAAGAAAAACAAGGCATTAGGAAAAGTTGCCCCTGGTTCTTATTCTTATTTGCCTTTTTGTTTAATTACAGGAGACAGTGGTACTCACTTGTTGGGTTCCTTTACCAACAGTGGTTTTATTAATTCAAATTATATCCTATATAGCTAATAGAAAATAATTGCCAAGTAAATATAATTTAATAGCCGTGGGTTTTTATATTGCTAGACACTATGTAGGAGGCTAATTCTAATGAGCTGAGACTCAGTCTAAATAATTAAAGAAGTTAATATTTCTGTTTGGCTGGCTGATCAATTTAAAAAAGCCCTTAGTCCTTTAAAAGTAAGCGTAGAACTATGTCATGGGAAACATATTGAATGTGAAAGATTTATTAGGCTATATTCACACAAACAAACTGCGGTTCTGCAGCACACCAAAAGACTTACAATTTGCAGTGGTGAGAACTAATTAGAATATATTTCAAATCAGAAATTGAAAGAAATATGTCCTTGTATAGAATGTACCATTTATTATGCACTGTTGAGAGCAATTCATATGCTAACTCATTGTTATATACTGTGCCTTTTGGCATAGCATAACTCAATTAGATTTGAATGGGAGTAACCCTGTTGCCTCTTATAATGCCTTGAAAACTTGGCCAGTCCCTGGGCATAGGTTTCAGAAATGAAATATGTAGCTTGGCCTTGACCTCACTTGTGCCATATAGTATTGTGTGTTTTTGTCAGCTTTGTTTTCATTATTTTGTTTTTTTATCTTTTTAATACAATGTAAGCCTTCCAGAGGCCGTATTTCCAAGTTGGGTGGCCCTCCATATAATTTATATAAATAAAAAAAACACCAGTGTTTAGTTCTGCTTTTATGCCAGCTAATGAGATAAAATTCAAAAATTAATGGCTTGATTTTTCATCTTGTTTTTCTTTAGAGTATTTCTGAGAGCCATCAACAAATTTTCTGAGACTATGAACCACAAGTTTCTGGAAAACATGAATTTTGAAGAGCAAGTAAGTGGTTTATTTATTATTTACTTTTTAGAAAAATCAGAATTTACTTGTTTTGTGTCTACTTTTTTCAATATTTTCCCAAACATATTGGAATTTGACTGATAGGGGATGAAAGACATCCAAAGGCCATTTAATTTGGGAGAATTACTTTTTCTCCAGATTTGGTATTTTGATTATTATAAGGTTCTCAGTCTGATGCTTTCACCCGTTTGGTTGATTTGGACAACACTGTAGAATAAATAACATGTAATACTGGAGCATCATATCTATATGGAATTTAATTAAAATATCAGAACATTCTTGTTTGGCACAGATATCTTTAATATCAGGAACTTGTTTTGCTTTTTCTATAGAGGGTCTATACTTGGAACAAGTTCAAACTAAGGTTGAAATGTGGCCCTTACCTTATTTCAGTTTATGGAATGAGTTAAAACCTATTTTTTACCCAAGCTTGTTTATGCTGGTATTTCTTAAAAGTTTTAATTGTTACCCCAAAAGTCAGAATAAATTCTCAATGTTTGTAAGCTGCCTAGAGCCATAAATGAGAATGGATAACAGATATATTTTAATTAATTAATTGAAGTAATAAAACAGTTATTGAGGAAATTACTTAGCATGTAGAAATACATGTTATTTATAGCAAGACCTCAAGAAGATAAAGATTTAGCATACCCATCATTTTTCAGATTGAACTCACATATAATTAAATATTTTAATATAGCATCAGAGCAGCAAGCAAAGTACCAAAAATGTGAATTATCAGGCAGAATTTGTTCCTGTCAAGTAATGTGAGGCCGCCTTGTGAAATAAAATTTATCTTTCAAAAGAGGCCCCAGAAAGGAACTTAAGCTTCCTTTTTGTCCTACTTGTCCCAGAAAATGACAAGTAAAAATATAGTTTATAAAATTCATATAGTAAATGTGAATAATATTAATGTAAATGAGATTATAATGAGTAATAGCTGTTTTCAAGCCAGAGCATGAATGATAAAGCATAATTTTCTTTACTCTCTGAGATTTAACAGATTACATACCACTGGCATGCCAGATTTCCTTTTTCTTCCCACTGTTCTTACTATTTCAATTTCGAGGCTGCCTGATTCTATAGCGAGTCTGCCTGCCTGCTTACAGATAAAAGTTAATTTAAAACAAAATATAACAAGAAAAAAGAAGACAGCTGATGAAACCAACACTCACCCACCCACCCCAGTCTGTCCAATAGGTGTATAAGACAAAAAATAGAAATGATGTCAAAGAAACAATGGTGAATATCGTTTATCGCATTGAGTTATACTATGTTGAATTGTCTGTAGCGAGTTGTCCCACAGCAAATCGACAGCAGCAAGATAGCCGTGGCAAGTTGGCCATGACAAATTGTCCCATTCCATTGTCTGTTAGGGGCAGCCCATAAAATTATCTTTATTGCAAACCTACATCAGAAATTAATAATGCTGTCATAACAATTAAACATTTAACACTTTCCTTTGGTTTGGAACTTGCTATATGCGGATGTTAGAAAGTCAGAGAATTGGTTGGCATAAATGTTCTACCGATCTTACAAGAAATGCTTGTTTTGGGACTTTTGATTCCCTTGAAACTTGCAATGCAGCAGTCAATGCATATTTATTGACTTTTATTACCATTGACTTATTTATGATCTACCAGTTGGGATGTTTTAAAAATTATGAAATGTCATTCAAAGCACTTTAAAAAAAATGTTTTTTGCCCAAAATGCAAACATCTGTTGCACCATATTCACTGTGTACCAATGGATGGATATCATACATTCCAAGGCACAGTTCTATTTTTTCCCTCACAAAATAACAGGACATGGCTTTCTATGAATTGTGAGGGAGTTCAATAGTGGGGACAGAATAGGGAAATTTATGACTTTGCTCTGGCCCTGAATTTAGATTGATCCTTTCTCTTTAAGAATTGCACAGAAAATGGGATTCTATCAAGTGAGATTTATTCTCCTCATGTGGTGGTAGAAAACTTCACACATCAATTTGCAGGATGGGCCATCTCTCCCCCCTCCCGCCCCATCTTTCCTTCATCTGTCCCTTCAGCTCCCCCTTGTGTGTTTGTTTCTCTGTTTTCCAGATGAAGCCTTGAACATCTCTGTATAGGAAAGAAATAATGCAAAGGTTCCACTTTATTGAATAGAGTAGAAACAACACGAACCTTGAGATTTTTCCCATTCCTTCTCTAAACATCCTGTACTGACAATGTTTTAGAAGACAAATGCAATTTTTGTACATGATAGAATATATGCTATGATAGATGGTTTGGACAGTTTGTTGTTGTTTTTCTAACAGTGCTATTAGATACGCATACTGCATTGAGTTAAAAGAAATCAAAATACTGTTTATTCAGTAATGGCCAGCAAAATTGGTAAAATATATAACACAAAAGTAAAATCAAATACTAGCATAACAAAGATAAAATAACAATGTAAAATACACCACTATAATGGTGTTCATTACCTGTGCAAGAGTTAAAAATATTACAACCTAGGAAGTAAAATAAATATCACTTAAAACAAGATAGCTAAAGCATATTAAATCTAAAGTGATGAATAAAAGAGGAGGGATAATTTCTGTGACCACAGTTATGTATTGTTTTCATTGCAACACTGAATTTGGCTACTGCACAAGTAATAAAGGGCTTTGACTCTTTTAGAAGATGGTCCACAGAGAAATTGGCTGGCCTTCCTGGAAATTTAGATATTAGAGGTTGTCAGACCATTTGACCCCAAACCTGTTAGCCTTTTAGAAAACCATGAAGATCTGATTTTTCTTTGGACATTGGGTTAGATTCCTAGTTGGATCCAGCACATAGGGATATTGACTGTCTTATTTTGATAATAAATCTTTTCAATGTGTTACGTTTACATTTTTACTATGAACTGCCTAGAGTCACTAGGTGAGATAGTGGCTATGTAAGAATTGTAAATTATTAAGCATGCCTTGCACTGCTTGTATATGTTTCACTTTTTGAAAACTCACTGGAGTTAGTTGTTCCAGAAGTTTCAGGAGAAAACGCAAGAGAAAATACTGATCCTGACTGGAGTGTTTTTATTTGTTTGCTTGTAAATTTTATGAAGTCTAGCAACAGAAGACAACACTGAAGAAAGGAAACTTCACTTGTTTTTCAGCTCAACAAGAGTGCACCATTCTATTTTCTTATCTCTTTTCATTTGATGAACACTTCCTTCCATTTACCCAAACAAAGCTTTCTTTTAGATCAGGAGAATGCAATGCTTATAGAAACATAATGCTGACAGATGGGGATCTGGGAGGAAGGGCTTTTCGAAAAGGATATTGTGCTGTATTGCACTATGATTGTGTTGTATGCCATTTGAATATGCTTTGCTGTGTCAGAAGTTAATCCACAAGGTTTTATTGTTGTTGTTAAAGAGACATGGGGACAGAAGGCATGCACACAGCCTCTAAAGTTTTTCCTCTTCTGATCCAAAGGACTCCATGTCACTGTCAGACTTAGTTTGTTCAGACAATATGTCTTTAGTATGATATATAAGGCAAAATACCATTATTCCAACAACTGTCCATTTTGTTTATTTCCCACTTTTATTATTTAGATAAATAATTCAAGGCCACCTAATACTCCTTCCTCCTCCTGCTTTCTCACAATTCTGTGAGGTGAGTTGGGCTGAGAAAGATCATCTAGTCCAGGGGTAGTCAACCTTGGCTCTTTTATGACTCGTGGACTTCAACTCCCAGAATTCCTGAGCCAGCTGTGCTGGCTCAGGAATTCTGGGAGTTGAAGTCCACGAGTCATAAAAGAGCCAAGGTTGACTACCCCTGATCTAGTCCAAAGCCATTGAGTTTGGCTTTGTACCAAAGGCAGGTATACAACTCTAACCTGGTGCTTTAACTGCTACACAAAATTGGCTAGATTAATTATCCTAATGCTAGAACTGGGCCACACCTTCCACATTCATAATAGCTGTAGATGTCCTAAAGTTCATCCGCCACAGGATTCATACCTCAAGATGCCTTTCATAATAACAATGGTTAGAAAGATTTGTGTTTTAGTGCAGACTCTAATGCCACCTCACATTGTCATACATATGGCTCTGTTTCTTGTAGTATTCCTCTCTAAAGCTTGCTAAAAGACAGTTAATATGAATATCGGCTCTTTAAACTGATGGGGGTGCAATATGTAGAAATAAATATCACTCACAATTTATAGTTTGCTGAAATATATAAACTATAAAATATTATGTATGAGAAAATCTCCCTTGTGTGGAAAAAGGAGGAACTATTTTGATCAAGGTGTTGCAGCTTTTTCTAGTTAAATTTTGCTACAGGTAAATTTTGCTATTAAAATATTGCTATACTGATATTTGAAAACTAGGGTCAAAATATATTCCAGGATCATGAAATTATGTATTTCTGTTTTTCATCGTCGAGAAATGTGGTCAAAATTTTACCTATTAGTACAGTGAAAATAAAACTGATGAAAATCCAGAACTCTTCATAGCCTCATAGTGTAATTCTTGAGGTTAAAAATAATAGGTTATTTTTGGCTTTATTCCATATGCATCTTTTAGAATTTAATTTTGCTAAAATCAAGGAGCTTTTTTCTCCATGAAGCAGTTATGAAGAACTTATGATATTATAATTTTACCTCTAAAGCTGCATTCCTTGGTTGGAGATGGAAAATTAGTCTGAACCTGGTATATGCAAAAGTTCTCAGGGTGCACGGTAACTTTATTGTTTATGAGCTAATGAACCCCATGTGAATCTCCAGATGCTACTCAGGGAATGCAGGCTGGTGGGTATAAAAACCACACTCTTGCCTTTTTATTCTAATTGCAATGTAATAATAGCACAAAACTTTGCATCATATTAAATCCTTTCTGCTGGCTGCCTTCATAAATTATTTAGGTTTTACACAGCTTAATACAACCTTCCATTTCAGGAGAAATGCATGATAACAATTTGGTGTTCTGTCTTCTGCTCAATTTACAGCTCTGGAACAACTATTTTCATCTTGCAGTGGCTTTTATCACCCAGGACACCTTGCAGCTCGAGCAATTCTCCCATGGTAAATGCATTAAGATCCTGAACAAGTAGGTCTTGTTTTTAATCATTGAAAAGTGATTTTTGCTTCTCATTTAGACAAGAAAGCCGGGATGAAGATAATGACTTCTGCTTTCCCTTTCAGATATGGAGACATGAGACGTTTAATTGGTTTTGCTATCCGTGACATGTGGTACAAACTTGGTAAGTTAGAGTATGCGAAAGCAAAGATGGGCCTCCCCTGGTTCTGATGGAGACCTTTTCTAATGGGATGTTCCATTTTATTAAAACTGTTTTTGTTACATTTATCTTGTCTTATGAAATACCTCCAACCTTATTTACAAGATATGTGCCTGACTATCTGGCAGATAGCAACACAGAAATTTCTACTCATGGAACGTTGTTCAATATTATTAAGAACTGGAGTAAGGAGACAAACTGAAAATAGTACAAAGAGGACTAAGCAAAGAGCTTTCATTGATAGCAAAAGGCATTGCGATCACCTTATTGACTACTAACTTTGACACTGCCCTTAACATGGATCTTTCTGGGTAAAGGGAATAACATTCCTGGAGATCAGTTTTAGAGAAGGTCATCTCTTTTTTTCTTCAGTGTTAGTTTAGAAAATGAACTCCTGTTCAGAGATAAGAATATGTGTTTTAGTTTTGGTTATAGAAATGTAGAGCTGCTTCTACTCTTTTTCTCTCAATTAAAACATTTACACCTTCTGTTTTACATTAACAACACTTTTTGTTTTGTTCATATGTATACAATGACCAACAAGTATTGCTGAGTAATGTTTGGATTCTCAATTTCTAAGTAAATACATAGTACTACTACCTGTTCCAGCCTAGGGAAAGAATATGCATGGAGGGACAAGGAAGTAAGAGTTGAATTAGCCGAGTTTGGACTTGATTAATTTACTGCCAAGTCAGCAGGGATCGAAGTGGAGCTGGTCCATTACAGCTCCCTATAATAATATAGCTGATCTGTAATTATAATTCAAGACAATTTTGCAGCTTGAAGGGAAGCTTCTATGAAAGAAAATGGAATGGACAGCCACTAAGGTTTATCTCAGTAGCAAGTGTGTCTGTTTGCTTTCATGCGAAGGAAGAATCTGTTTATTTAGGTTTCAATCTATCAGCATGAATTTTTATTTTTTACTGCTATCTGTGGTTGTTATTTCAGAATAGTCATAGCTGGATGACGCTGTTTTGCTGTTGTATCCAACAATACAATGATATTTTTCTTGAAATTAGAAAAACCCAGCAAAATGATGAAAGCAGCTGCTTAATATCAGATTGATATAGAATAAAGATGGAACTTTGGTTACAGCCACTTGAAAAAATCCCTTTGATTAAAACAGAATACCATGTTTAACTATATGTTATACAGGTTTTCTCCAGGGGGAAAAAGTGTTTTTCTTCCGCTATTCATATGTAAACATATCAAACAATTATGAATCATCAGTGACTTACAATTCTCAAAAACTGGAGGTTTATAGAATATAATTTTTTCTTAAATTAAAAAGGTAAGAATCCAGGAAGTATTAAAAAGCTCATTAGAACAAGAGATTAAAGGATTTATAAAAACTAGATGCAACACTTTGATGGATTAAATTGTGTGCAACAGTAAGAATTTTAGTGGAAGAAAAATATTAAATTTACAGGGCATATCACATTTAGAGAAAATTGATTAGTTTTACCAATGTTATATTACTCCAGTATTGATTTCTAAAACTGATAATTCATTTTCTAAAAACTGATGGAAATGTAATAATTGTAACACGTAGTTCAATCAGCTTATATCATATATTTGCTGGCAATGTTGTAAAGTTCAATAATTTTGAAAAATCATTTATAATGGAATAAGACAAATTCTAAAAGTATTTATTTATTCAGCAAGCAAACTTATATAACCACCCATCTCACCAAAAGTATGTAGTGTAAAACAATTGATAAATGTTAATATAATACACTGTTGAATACAATGATAGTTATAGCCAAATAACCTTTGCATTTCTATCCTAAAATAAAAACATAGCCTCATCCAGCTATTACTTTTCTAAAATAAATTGACTTTCCAACCTGCCATCTTTCTATTAATTTATATTAATATTACTAAATATATTCCAACAAAGTACCTTAACTTTAACATGGTCAGCATTACAAGGATCCTGTACATTAGAGAAGTTATAACCTCATGTTTGAAAGATAAATCTAATACAACATTTTATTTATTGTGGAAATTTGGGGGTACTATATTTCTGCACATGAGCTTGTACCACATCTAAAATTTCTCTTATCATCACATTTTAACCTGAAAGCATTGTATCATTTGTTAAATAAAATAAATTTATATGCTATGAAATGGTATGCATTTCTTTCTTATTTCTTTCAGGCTAAATAATTATAGTTGTTAATTTGTCTGGGCTCATATCTCAAGGATAAATTTCTTATTTAGTGGATTGTAATTTTTCATTTTTGTGCTGATTACTGTTATTGATACTTGCATACTAATTTGATTTTAAGAATGAACTGTAGTTTTAAAATGATATATGATACTTTAAATATGTAAAACTAGAATAACATTATACTAGTATAGGAAAATAGCACCCCTCCCAGAGAAAGAAATATTTTGGGGGATATTAAGAAAGAAAAATATATTTCCCCAAAGGAATATCAGAAAATCTTAGGCAGAACCCCCCCCCCAAGTCACTCTGCCCCAAGCAGAGGTCAGGTTTGTAGAAATGCAGATGTGATAATCCCTTCAGAAAGACTGGAGCCAGGAAGCTTAGAGCTGATGAGATTAAAAAGACAAAGATCCCTAGAACCAACAACCTCTTACCCAAATTATCCAACACAGGACATAGCCATCAGCCACAGTGCCAGGGAAGCAGGACATGACTTTTAGGACATAATAGGATTAACCCACCAACATTAGAATACCAGAAAAGCACACTGAACCTCAGGTCAAAGTTCATGCCACAGGAACAGGAAGAATGCAAAACACAAAAGCCCAAGAAGGTATAAAAACCCACCACTCCCAGCTCCATGTGGTCAGCCACCCAAGAAACATGCTGCTATCAATGAAGTTTCTGGCAACTCAATAAACAAGAACCTTCTTTCCTAAAGCAGTCTCTATTTTGTTTGTTTCCGGCTTGGACTGCACTCTGATGAAGATTTTTCTTTCAATACTAGAAAATTTTACTCACTTTTTTAAAGATTTGTGATGCTGGTAAATCAGGCAGGCAGGCAGGCAGGCAGGCAGGCAGGCAGGCAGGCAGGCAGGAAGGAAGGAAGGAAGGAAGGAAGGAAGGAAGGAAGGAAGGAAGGAAGGAAGGAAGATTTTGAAGCTTCCATCAATTTTCTTGATGTTGTATAGCATACTTCCAAATAAATAAAGATTTTTGAAAGATTAGGAGCTTGATGGCATCTAAGTTGTCTCTTCATCTATTGTTCTACAACTGGAAATATGAAGCTACCCAAGTTTTAGTTATGTGGGAGAGTTTAAAATGAAATTGAGAAAGTACTCTTTCCACTTATTCAAAAGTGAATGTCTCTAGATGATGCCTGTCAAATTGGCAAATTAGACTTTGCAAAGAATGTTCAGAGTTCACTACCATGCAATTTGTTGTTTATTGGACCAGATGCTCTGTCCATAATATTATACAGATAATCAAACCTATCCCTGCTGCTGGTTTTTCATCTCTCTTCTCTGAAACATTAGGTATGATTAAACACTGCAAGAGGGAGAACTATAAAGGTGATCAACCAATACTTTGAACCTTATTGTATTTTACTTTGTTTTATACACAGAGAGAGAGAGAGAGAGAGAGAGAGAGAGAGAGAGAGAGAGAGAGAGGGAGGGAGGGAGGGAGAGAGATATTTTGGAATTGGTGAAGAGGAGGAGAAAAGAGAGCGAGAGAAAGGGAGAGGGAGGGGGTATGGAGGAATATTTCATGACTAAAAATATTTCAAGGCCTGGTTTTCTTGTTAGAGGTGACATTTACAAGCTTCTTTCTTCTTTTTTCATCATCTGTCATAATCCCAAATGCTTCCTAAGGCAGACTCCAGTGGCGCTCTATTTCATGTGGCTTTAAGTCATTGTACAGCCAATCTATAACAGAGTTACCAGGACATCATTTCTATTCTGAGCTTTCTAAGGGTTGGTATTATTCATCCAGGAATCAAAGCAGATGTGTTTTTTTCAACTGTGATAGAGACAAGAAACATATCAGAGACTACTGTAATGTTTTTCTCTGATAAATTGGTTTTGATGGGAAGAGATGAGGAAATAGAATTATTTTCTCTTCCAAGAACATTCATTGATTAAATGTTGGTAACAGTAATCATTAAAAGAAGTCTGTGTACATTCAGCCAACTCATGTGGGTTATCTGATATGCAATATGTATTGCCTATAATAGTAAACAGGCATATTATATTGCAATCTTGAACTGTGAATAGACCATAACAATAATGGAAGCTTCTTATAATGCAATACTGTCATAGAAAGGACATTAGACTTGCAAACCATATAGCTGTTTCCCCTAACTTAGCACCCTCCAGATATCTTGGGAATGCAGCTATCAGAAAAAAAAATCATATCAAAGTACCAAATTGATTATATCTGTCTGTCTGTCTGTCTGTCTGTCTGTCTGTCTGTCTGTCTGTCTGTCTGTCTGTCTGTCTGTCCGTCTATCCGTCTATCCATCTATCCATCTACCCATCTACCCATCAATCATCCTATCTCAGATAGTTCAAATTGTTTCATATACAATTCAGCCCTTTGCTCATGGCGATGTGGGATAGTAGCTTACAAGTGAATAACTAAGAAGAAATCATTCTGGTTGTAATTTATTCATCTAACCATAATAGAATAACTAAGTAAAGCAGACTATGCAAGAGAGACAATCAAACAGCCAAAAATGGAACAAAAAGACCTCAGCACTTCTTCACCAGCAGTCAGCACCCAGATCAGCATAGATTAACTCCAAGGTTAACATCAGACCAACCATCAAGTAATCAATAACCCAATCAAGAAACTGCCAAAGGAGCCAACAGTAAACAGCCCAACCAAAGAATCTCTAAGACTACCTGTCAACGCTACAAATACTGTATATTCTTGCTTTAACAATATGCAGAACTGTCTTGTATTTTTATAGTTAAACCAGGCAACAGGGAAAAAGGGAGGAGAATAAGGATAGCCTGGGAAAAAGAAACCGGAAGTAAATCACATCTTCCAAGTTGATTGGAAGATGTGAACCATGACCCCAAAATAAGGGGGGGGAAATGCTTAGAATGTATATGCGTAACGGAAAAGAAGCCAGACCTAAGCATTTCCACCATGCTGTACTGGCGTCTCTGTAACCTTAATAAATGCTTTTAGGGAAAAATATGCCTGAAAGTCCTTTTAAGTGTTTCGTTAATCAGACACATGACACTACCTTCACCAACACTGACAGGGTGAGCCAACAAAATATAAACTGACAGCATCACGCTCCTTACCTAGCACTGATGATGTTGCCTAGTTTGGGTAATGAAACATCCGCAAGAAAACAAGCAAGCTAAGAGACCCCCTCAAGTAAAGCAGAAGTTAGGCAATCAAATTATAACTAGTGAAACAAAGAAACTGACTGCTATTGGTAATAACTAGTATTATTCTACTTACGGAGTTTCTGCATTACGTACTTATCATCTAATCATTGCTTCTCCCATCGTGGAAGTCATCATAAATATTTTACTAATTTGTAAACAATACAAGAGTTACAAAACTGATGTGAAAAGGTATTTGTTGTTCTTTTGTAAATAGTTTGTTTCTCAACTAGAAATGTTGAATCATCAATCTTTCTTTAAATATCCACTCTAAAATCTAGAAGAAAGTTAAAATAAACCATTGAAATAGAAGTGTTATAATGGTATTGAAATGATGGTGCACCATTGGTTGATATTATCAACGTTCTCTTCTGTACATTGTTCCAGGACAGAATAAGATCCGCTTTATTCCAGGAATGGTTGGACCTATCTTAGAAATGACCCTGATCCCTGAAGCTGAACTGCGGAAAGCCACCATCCCAATATTCTTTGACATGATGTTATGTGAATATAAACATACTGGTGAATTCAAAAAGGTATTATACGTTTTGTCTATCATTTGGTAATGTCACTGCTGTTATTCTTAAATATCAGATGAATGCATATATTTTATTGTGTGATTCTTCACTAGTTCTATCTAAAATTAAGGAAAGAAGATCTGCAGTTTTGTGGGATATTACAATTTGAGGACCCAGAGACTTAAAATCAAAAATAATTCATTTAAAAATTAAATGTATCTCAAGCTTTCCAAATCAGTTGACTATATCTTGTAAATGTCATTACAAAATTACATGGTATTAAGGTCAAATCACAGTCATTAAGCGAATCACATAAAAGCTAGTAGCTGAACTGTTATAGTAGTAGCTAAGTACACTACTTTTGGTTTGAATCCAGAACTGAAGATCCTCTTTTTTTCAGTTTGTTCTCCTCTTGACTTCATAATCCTCTATTTTCTGCTTTTAATTACTGCTTTTTATTCTTGGCTTATAACAATTTCTTTTAGGAATCTTTGCAAGGAAACAGGACTAAAAAAAATGAAATATGCACCCTGGGATAGTGTGTAATTCGACAAATCTTCTTTAAAACTCAAAGGTAGTCTGGTTGGGCATGATTTCTTCTTTAATCTTTCCTTGATTGGGGCATTTTTTCTTCCTTGGTAGTTTATCTGGTGTCATTTGCTGCTTATTACCCTGAGCTGTTTGTTTCCTTTCTTGTCTTTTGGTTATAACTTTAAATAGTATGTAGATGAAATTTATCTGTATGACTGGCTTGATTTGTCTACTCCCAGGATTCCAGGAATTCCCTAGCATTTTTGGATTTGGCCTGATTTAAAATGTTATGTTTCTCAAACCATGTACTGCAGTATTAAGGGTTTTTTTTATCATGACTTCCAATTGCCAATTGATATTTGTGGATGTATACTTCTATCTGCTGTCCTACACAGAGACTGTTATAGTCCTTATTTTATAAGTTGTAGATGAATACTGATTTTTTTTCTCCTTTGGTAATTGGGTCTTTGGGTTTGCTTTAGATGTTTTTGAATGAATTTCCTTGGTTTGTAGCAATAGACCAATATGAGATGCTTGAATCAACTACCAGATGGAAGTGCAACTGCTGAACCTTCATACCCAAATGTGGCCTTTATTAAATCTATAGCTAGAGGGAGAAAAATATGAGTGAATAGGAGAAAGGCATCTAAAGCAGTACTGATGCTAAATATTCAAAGGATGTGGGCTCACTGTGAACTTTGCTTCTCATGTTCCACCCAAAACATCAGGGGTGCTCTTGAAAAATGTCCTAGTGAAGTTATCCTTAAGGTGGAATATTATATTGAAGGCAGGACCAATATCTATTTGAGAAGACAAATACTAAGCTGTTGGATGATGTTGTGAAAGAGACATGTGTCTTGCCTTTTTGACAGTGTGTTTCTCACTGTCATTTTATAAATAGTTTTGGCCCAAGGGAAGAAGATGTTTGTATCTCTCCCATCACACTTTAGCTTTAATCTCTTGACTCCCATCATTTGTCAGTCTGCAGGCAGCACAAGTACAGGGAACCGCTCTGTTTTATGGCAACCTCTGGCAACGCAGTAGAACATTGCTTTGATGCCAGGCAATAATGTGACAGCAACATTGGCCCATTAGATAGAGAAGACATTCCTTCTGCTCATCTTACTGTGGATAGAATGGATTCTGCACTGAGCTGTCATTGTGCTCAAGGGCAAAATTATGTTGCACTGCATATGTTGTGACTTTCTCTTCATCTATTACACAGCCCAAGGGAAGGCACTACTAATAGAAGCTGTCAACACTGCAACGATCCTGGCTCAAGCCATTTTTGTTTCGTTTTCGGTTGCCACAGTACTGGGAGGAGGGATGAGTGGTTTTAAGGTTAGACTAAACAATAAATTATCCCATGGGAACCAAGATCATTGCTGTCTGACTTTTGGCGGGCTGAGCCTTCTGTTAGAAAGTCTGCTAAAGTATTCTATTGAGGAACGTGGATAATGACATAGTGCTGGGGTGGGAAGTTCAACTTTGTGACATTGTCATGCTTGAGAGGGAATTCCAGACTTGGTTTCACTTTTGACTGTGCTGATACTTTGTAGCCAATAAATGTGTTCTTTAAGGAAACCTCTTTCATTGGAGGTCTGCTTTACTGGTCTCATCTATTGGAACCATGACGGAAGCCTTCCATGTGCAGAAAACAGATTTCTTTAGTCCAGGTTACAAGGCTTAATGGCAAAGTTCTCAGTGGTAGTAAAGAAAACATCTGGCAGAGAGGGCATGCTTTGGGTCCATCTGCTAGGGACTTATATTTGACAAGTCCAAGGTGGTGAGTCTCCTATAGCACTTGCCTTATGGAATATGTATTTCTCTCTCTCCCCACCCAAAAAAAGTGAAATTAGTTCCATCCCTGCTAATGTTCCATAAGTCCATCAAGACTTGGTTTGGTCCTCAAGCCTGGGGCCCCTGGGGATTGTGAAATATTCTTAGATAGCTCTTTCATTAATCAACTCTCTCCTGCCTACATCCAATGACTTGCATTTTTAACAATGATTGCTTTATATTTCTTAATAATGATTGTTTTTATTTATTTACTGTTTTACTTTATTGTTATACATTGGCCAAAGTCACTGAGATGGGCAGCTATGTAAATGTGCCATTTTAAAAAAAAAACTTCTCTAAGCCATACAGAGTTACTCTCTGTGAAGATGGGTGGCTAATAAATTTGATAAATATAGAAATACAGAAGAAAGAAGAATCATTTTTGTTCATATCTCAATTGGAGAGAGACAGAATAAAGTTCCACTCTCTAAGTATTGTGATTTCAGTAATAATCATCTCCAAATTACAATTAATGAAAGAAAGGCCAAAAATACAACTGAATTTTGTGAATAATAATAATAATAATAATAATAATAATAATAATAATAATAATAATAATAATAATAATAATAATAATAATAATAATAATAATAATAATAATAATAATAATAATAATAATAATGTTGGAAGGGACCTTAGAGGTCAACAAGTCGAACCCCCCTATACCATATTGGACAAATGGCTGTCCAGTTTCTTCTTAAAAACTTCCAGTGTTGGAGCATTCACCACTTCGGGAGGCAGGTTGTTCCACTGGTTAATTGTTCTAACTGTCAGGAAGTTTCTCCTTAGTTCTAGGTTGCTTCTCTCCATCCATTGCTTCTTGTCTTGCCTTCAGGTGCTTTGGAAAATAGCTTGACTCCCTCTTCTCTGTGGCAGCCCCTGAGATATTGGAACACTGCTATCATGTCCCCCCTCGTCCTTCTCTTCATTAAACTAGACATTCTATCAACCTTTCCTTATGTGTTTTAACCTCCAGTCCCATAATCATCTTTGTTGCTCTTCTCTGTACTCTTTCTAGAGTCTCAACATCTTTTTTACATCGTGGTGACCAAAACTAGATGCAGTATTCCAAGTGTGGCCTTACCAAGGCATTGTAGAGTGGTATTAATACTTTGCGTGATCTTGATTCTATCCCTCTGTTAATGCAGCCTAGCACTGTGTTGGCTTTTTTGGCAGCTGCAGCACACTGCTGGCTCATATTTAAATGATTGTCCACTAGGACTCCGAGATCCCTCTCACAGTTACTACTATTGAGCAAGGTACCCCTATACTATACCTGTGCATTTGGTTTTTCTTGCCTAAATGTAGAACCTACCTTGTTAGATAGTGCCCAGTGTTCAAGTCTGTCCAGATCCTCCTGTATCTTAAGCCTGTTTTCTGGAGTGTTGGCTATTCCTGCCAGCTTGGTGTTGTCTGCAAATTTGATGAATTCCCCATCTATCCCCTTGTCCAAATCATTGATGAAGATGTTGAAGAGCACTGGGCCCAGAACAGAGCCCTGGGGCACCCCACTACACACTTCCCTCCATGTAGATGTGGTTCCATTGAGGACCACACACTGAGTATGGCCGGTCAGCCAGCTACGGATCCATCTGGTGATGATGCTGTCTAATCCGCATTTTTCTATCTTATCAAGTAGTAGGTTGTGATCTACTTTGTCAAATGCCTTACTGAAGTCCAAGTAAATTATTCCTCTGGTCCACTAATTTTGTCACTTGGTCAAAGAATGCAATAAGATTTGTCTGGCATGATCTGTTTTTGACAAACCCGTGTTGGCTTTTAGTAATGACTTGGTTTGCCTGTAGGTGTTCGCTGATTCGTTGTTTGATTATCTTTTCCAGAATCTTCCCAGGTATTGAGGTCAGGCTGATAGGTCTGTAATTTCCTGGATCCATTTTTTTCCCTTTTTTGAAGATGGGAACTACATCAGCTCTTTTCCAGTCCTCTGGTAGTTCCCCAGTGCTCCAGGATCTTTGAAAAATATAGTTCAGTGGTTTTGAGATCACATCTGCCAGTTCCTTGAGAACCTTGGAGTATAATTCATCTGGTCCTGGTGATTTGAACTCGTCTAGGTTGGACAGGTGCTCACTTACCATTTTCTTGCCTATCTTAACTTGTGTTTCTATTCTGTTTTTTATGGCACTATTTTTGATAGGTTGGTCTGCTTTTTCCCTTTGTGTAAAGACAGATGCGAAAAACGAGTTAAATAGTTCTGCTTTCTCCCTGTTGCTTGTCACCTTCTTCACCCACTAATAGACCAATCGTTTCCTTCACTTTTTTCTTGTTTTTTACATGTTGAAAGAAGCTTTTTTTGTTATTTTTGACTTTGGTCGCAAGCCTTACTTCGTTTTGAGCCTTAGCTTTCCTCACTTCGTCTTTGCAGGCTCGGGCTATTTGCTGATATTCTGACTTAGTTATGTGTCCCTCTTTCCACTTTCTATACTTGTCCTTTTTATCTTTCAATTGATCAGAGAGTTCTTTGTGCAGCCATGCTGGTTTCTTTTGAGAGCTGTTATTTTTCCTCTTTGTTGATATTTTGCTAGACTGGCCTTTTATTATCTCACTTTTCAAAATTTCCCAAGCATCTTGAGTTGTTTTTCCCTCAAGGATTTTCGTCCATAGAATCCTTCTCAAACCCTCTCTAAGTT